TGAAAAATGAAAAAACAATCATCTTTTCTCTTTACCGATTTTCGAAATTTCGAGCAATAACTGCTTTTCTGAACATTTTTTGGAAAAAATGTCAAATTGGACAGGGAAGAAAAATCACTTGATCGGTCATATGCATGTCATTTGGCATCATTTTTAAAGCACAACCTAATGGAGATATCAAAAGTTGCTTGAAAAGATGAACAAAAAAAAATCCCATTCGACGCGGACTTTATGTGTGACACTGTATATAACGTCGACGAAACCGGTCTTTCCGTTGTACCATCGAGGATTCCTAAAATCATTGGACGAAAAGGGAAGCGTCAGATAGCCGCCATTACATCTGCTGAGAGAGGTTCGCTAGTGACTATGGTTGCAGCAATGAGTGCAGGAAGGCAATTTGTTCCTCCAATGTTAGTCTTCCCAAGAAAAAATAAAAATGATCAGCTTATGCGCGGAGCACCACCTGGGAGTATCTATGCGGTACATCCAAGTGGCTGTATCCAGCAACATTTATTTACTGAATAGTTCAATCATTTTCTCCAGTTTGTAAAGCCTACTGATTAGTCACCTGTGTTGCTTATAGTAGATGGACATTACAGCCATACAAGAAATTTAGATATAATAAACTTGGCAAGGGAAAATAATTTTTTGGTTTGACCAGAAGAGATCTGTGTAGAATGGCATATACACTGGCTATTAAAAATAGAATGAAAAATCCTTTTAAAAATGGGATTGCTGGTCGTACCTTGTTAGATGGTTTCTTAAAAAGACATAATAATCAACTGTCACTGCGAAGACCAACTGAAACCTCTTTTGCAAGAGCTTTGGGGTTCAATGAAAAAAATATCAGAATATTTTTCGATAACCTTGAGGCACAATATGAAAAACTCCACATCAAATATATAACGTCGACGAAACCGGTCTTTCCGTTGTACCATCGAGGATTCTTAAAATCATTGGACGAAAAAGGAAGCGTCAGAATGCCGCCATTACATCTGCTGAGAGAGGTTCGTTAGTGACTATGGTTGCAGCAATGAGTGCAGGAGGGCAATTTGTTCCTCCAATGTTAGTCTCCCCAAGAAAAAATTAAAATGATCAGTGTATGCGCGGAGCATCACCTGGGAGTATCTATGCGGTACATCCAAGTGGCTGGATCCAGCAACATTTATTTACTGAATGGTTCAATAATTTTCTTCAGTTTGTAAGGGCTACTGTATTGTTTATAGTAGATGTACATTACAGCCACACAAGAAATTTAGACAAGAAACAATAAGGGAAAATAATGGCTGCATCATATCACTTCCTCCTCATTCGACACACAAACTGCAACCGCTAGACAAAACGTTCATGGGACCACTAAAAGCTTAATATAATGAAGAGATTAGAACTTGGATACGAATTAATGAAGGAGCCCTAACACAATTTGATCTAGCAGAACTATTGGGAAGATCATTTCTGAAATGATAGGCAGCAGAGATAGCTATGAATGGGTTTAAAGTAAAAGGAATCTGGCCAATAAATAAAAACATTTTTTCTGATGCTGATTTCATTGCTGAGAAAATTGAAGCCGAGAAAACCTGTAACTCGACTGAAATTAATTTGGGATTATTGACAAGTGACCTTGCAGAAACTATTTCTCCAGAAAATATATGTTCGTTCAGAAGATCAAGAAACAAGTTGTTTTAAAGACCACCAGATCCACCATTGAGGAACACAATGAACGCAACAACTGTGCCAGATTGTTCAAAAGCATTCCATTAGTCCATTCGTTCTTTCACCTGTCCCATCAGTTACGAAGCGGGCGTCTTCAAGAGGAAGGAAAACTTCTCGTTCTCAAGTTATAACTTCATCTCCGTATGAATCACACCTTGAAATATCAATTGAGAATATAAGAAGATCAAAAGAAGGAAAGGGAAAGAGAAAAGTATTTTAAGTTGAATCAAAAGAAAATGTAAAAAGAAACGTAGGAAATGGGAAGCGAATAGTTTCTGCGGCAAAGCTGAAAGAAAATGTAAAGAAACCCAGGAGAAAAAACAAAACCAAATTCAGTTCGAATGAAGAAGAGGAAGAGGAATTTTTGCCCGCTGACGATGACCTTGACATAGAGCAGATAGGACAGTATTCTCCTGAAAACAATGAGGCCACATGTCTATTTTGTGAACAACAGTTTTCTGATCATACTAGTGGAGAAAAATGGGTTCAATGTTCAATGTGCAATCTCTGGGCAGTCGAACAGTGTTCCGGAGCTGAAAAAGACCCTTACGTTTGCGATTTTTGTAGATAATTTTATTTTATTTTTCCACAGATATGTTTATTTTTCCTTGAGCATACATTGTTTGCTATTTTATTTCGTATTTTTGTTGTGAAAAGAAAATTTTGTTACTTTTTGAATGGGGCCCATATTTTGTTCAATAAAAAATCAGATGGGGGGCCCATATTTGGACCAGTTCCGCTAAATACATTTGGAAAAACGTCCTCAGGAAGTTTATTCCACATAAACGCAGTTCTCCACATGAAAGAGTTCTCAAACAGTGAAGTTCGAGGTGTACTGAGTTGAACCCCCAAAAAATTGAGCAGCCACAGTCCGTCGCGTATTTCTGATATGTACCACGCTCAGTGGAATCAAACGTTCCAAGTCACTTGGACACTTTCCGTGAAAGTATCCATAGAAAAGAGACGAACCTCCAACCTTTCTTCGATGTTCCAGGCTATCAAGAATACACGTGTTCGCGTCTCCAATCAGGTAGATGGGTCTTTCCTAGGTAGGATCCAGCAACTTCAGAGTATGTTTGGGGGCGGAGCCCCATACATGAGAACAATACCCCAAAGAAGGTCTAATCTGAGCTTTATGAAGGATCAAAAGTTGCTAAGGTGTGTATAGTTTTCTGGTTCGGAGCAGTGTTCCAAGCTATTGAGAAGCAGCCTTTGCAATTCCAGTGACATGGCTGTGCCAAGTCATATCGATTTCCATTTTCACTCCCAACAAACTTATGGAAGCAAAAAACGGAATCCAAATGGAATGGCGAGACAAGTGTGCCAGCCAAGCCATATATTGGATTCTTTGTTTTTTCCAATGAGTTGTTGATATGCAATATAAGGAGGATTGAAGACAATATGAATTCTTGGGGAACATCAGCGTTGATGGTGAAAGTATTCGAGATCTATCCATCGACGGCCACTTGCTCAGGGAAGATTCTTTCAGAAAGCTGGAGAGCCATACGCAGGAATGATTCGACAAGCCATAGCATCGAAGTTTGACCAGCAAACTCTCATGCCACACTCGGTCAAATGCCTCAGAAGTATCAAGCAGTACAGCTCTTGCTTCTCAATGTTTCTCGATTGCGTTATTCCAAATATAGGTGACATACGTATCCGAAAGCCATATTCATGATCGCTAAAGATATTGAAGCCTTTCAAATATTTGAGGATATGGTGGTTTACGACTTTCTCCATGATTTTTGATATCACTGATAGAAAAGCAACTGGTCTGTAGTTATTTGGAAGATTTTTCTTGTCTTTTTTGGGAATAGGCTGAACGCGAGGAATCTTCCAACAAGTAGGAAAAACCTCGTAAAGTCTGCAAGAGTATTCGACACTTCTGAAATAACGTCTGTTCTATTACAGTAACTATGTTACTATTACAGTAAAATACCTCTAATTCCGCGACAAATATTATTTATACGACTCGAAAATTGCTAAATTTGATACTTTTCTTCAGTTACAAAAACTAAATATATGGAATTATATTTCGAGGATTTTGTGAAAAGTATTTCCTACTCAAATTTAATTTTACCTGTTTCTGTTTCAGAATATAGTAACTGAGGAGTTATCATGTAATATGAAGTAAAACTCAATAAATATCAATAAAAACTCTTTGAGAAAAGTGTCTACATGAATTTTCACCTACTTTTAGTATTCCAGAAAAATATTTGAATGATCTACATTCACTAAAATAGTTCTCTTCTTATTCCAATCCACTAAAAGAGAAGTGGAAAATCTCAACAACTCTTATTATTGCAATTGTCTTTCTATTTTTAGTGTTTCAATTTTCATGAAAAATGTGATTCAAAACGTGACAGACATGAGGTTAGAGGGCTAAATTGCTAGTATTTAAATAGAAGTTTATATTGAGCAATGAGATGACTTTGTCAAACTTGATAATGCAGTTAACTCACCCTTTTTTCAGACCACTTTCACTGGTGTGTATCAGGTAAAAAACTGCCAGAAGTATCAACAACTGAAAACACAAGATGAATCAAAATGAGTCCAAGAAAATAATCAACGGTTTCACTCACATAAATTTTCATTGTATCATCGGCAATATCATAGAAAACTTGATTTATCTGCAGGAAGTGCGTACGCGAGCTAATAGAAAGGAAAATGGCATGGAAATAAAACATTCACCATTTATATGTACAAGAGATTCGACGATTTGCAATGCAGAAAGTGTTACAATTTACAATTGTTTTATTCCAGGTCATCAAACTAAAAATCTCATCAAAATTACTACCATGACATTGAACAGCTTTCATGGTCATTATTATAAAACTGAAATTATTTCTAAATAGGTATCCGTCTGGAATTTAAATCAGATTATAAAGAAACTTGCATGGTGTACTTGTAAGTAGTAAAGAGCTGAATGTGTTGAATAAATTAGTAGAAACTTATTTTCACTTTCTTTTCGTGGGATATACAAAATTCGTTATGAGATAAATTATACTTACCTACTTTCTGCATATCGTTATCATTGATTATGGTTTGATTCTGTATGTGTATTGAATTTACAGTCTTACTAAAATATGGTTACGCTCTATATTCACAGAAGTAGATAGAGGTAAGTGGACCACAGTGAAATAAAACATTTTATACTTCAAATTCATATTCAAAACTAGTGACGCCATCTTCCAGAGAACATCCAAACTACGCGGCAGCTATGACTTTTGCTCAACTAAAAATGCATACATAGAGAATTTAAACATTGTATATAGACTAACTATTCAAAATAAGAGATACTTCCCCTGGTGTCGATACTATGAACTAGGGAACAAATACGTTAGCTGTTCGAGAAATGAGGTGAATATTCAAATTTTGCGGGTTACGTATATTCGAATAAAGATTTTTAAATTCTTTAATATTGGCTCACTTGTCTCGAACCTACAGTTTCAGCCGTTGAGCATGTTTAGTTTGTTGGTGAGAAGTGTTTTGTTATCGAAAAAAAAATGGATCGAAGAATTTGCATCAAATTTTGTGTAAGAAATGGAATCAAGTGGTCAAAAAAACTTGAAATGTTGACAGTGGCGTACGGTGATTGTACTTCGAGCCAAAAAAATTTCTACAATGGGTACAAATTTTTAACAGGTCGAGAAGATATGAATGATGATGCTCGCCCTGGACATCGAAGCACCTCAATGACCAATAAAAATTTCATCAGTTCCTATTTCTTTTTTCAGCCTTCCTTTGTATTACAGAGCTCGAAAGCACGGTCTAGTAGAGTCTAGGAGAGTAGAGTCAAAGGAAGGTCTCGAAAAAGAAATAGGCATCATCAAAAATGACCTTCAACGGAATGGTTACTCCAGAGTGATGGTAGAACAGGCTTTAGCTAGAAGACAGCAAGAGCTCCACAAGGAAGAGAAGCCGCCACAACTAGTACTTATACTTCCCTACATCAGAGGATTATCGAAAAGGATAAGAAGGATTGAGTACAAGTATAACATCAGGACCTGTTTCAGATCTGGGAACACTATCCGTAGCAGCCTCACAAAAAGCAGGCCACCAAACTCGGACTGCGATTCCAAGAATTGCATTTACCGGATACCCTGCGAGTGCGGAGAATCATATATCGGTGAAACTAAGAGGCCATTGAAAGTTAGCATTGCTGAGCACAAGAAATACACACAGCGAGGTGAAACCAGCAAATCCGGAATAGCAGAGCATGTTTGTACTCATCAACATAATATCAAGTCTGAAATCATCCACAAAGAGGAACACTGGTTTAGGAGAAAATCCAAGGAAGCCGCGTATATGTTGTCCAACAAACGCATTTAGTCAAGCTAGCGTACGTACGTAATATATGGAAACCTCTTATCAAGCGAAAAACGACCAACTCCCGCCAAACGGTCATCTCTCGCTAAAACCAATGAAGCGAAAACAGGAAAGAGGAGATAGGTGAAAGGAGAAAGCACCAGGATGACCTATAAATAGTCAGATCTCGGAGGAATAAGTCCAGTTATCACCCGAAGACGATTGTGGATACTAACAATCGAAACGTCGTGACGTAACTTGGTTTGGAATCTTTAAATTTTTATTTTTCATTTTTGTTAATAATATTTTTTAATTTTATATTTACAACAACAATCATGTTGTTGTTCCATAATAACATTTATTGGTCCCTATAATAAAAGACTTTTTTCAAAAGTTTACCAAATACCAATATATAGCTTGCTGATGGGCCTATAGTTTTTGACTTTTGATTTGTCACCTGATTTGTGGATGTGGGCGACATGAGCTATTTTCCACAATTTAGGGAATGTAGATTCGAGTGATAGATTATAGATAATAATTGTGAGGGGTTTGCTTAGGTACAACATTTCATGAGTATATGGTTATGATATCGAAACCAAAAATTATTCGTACCATTGGCAGAGCCCAGGAAAGCGAAGACCAAAAAAACACGGCAAATTCAATCATCTGTCAAGGTTTTGCTCACTGTTCCTCGTATGCGCCGCTGAAGCATACGAGAAAAACATCCAGTATTGTGGACAAACAATTAGCTTTCGCTTACTCGTCATTGCCTGTTCGTAATTTTTTTGGCCAAAACCAACACCGTAACAATGCCCCAGCCACCGTATTTACCAGATTTGCCCCCCTGCGATTTTTTTTGTTCTCGAAATTGAAGAGATTTATGAAAGGACGGCGCGAAAATTGAATCGCTTACACAGTTTAAGGACATACCAAAAAGTGAATATCGTTTATCTTAATGAGGGTTCATTTTTGTTACTGTTTTATTAATTATTTCATGGAATGAGTGACAATTTTCCATTCCCAATTGGAACGGCAATAAAAATAAGAGCGATCATAAATTTTTTTTGCTTGTGGTCCCTAGTCGCCCAGATAGTTAGTAAACGTGGTATCAAATGTAGTTGAGGAGTAAAGGCTCGGCTAGCTGGACTGGCTGAATACTAATTTTTTGTCCGTTTCAAAATGTTTCTTCATCAGTGCCGTGTGTTCGTGGGGTTAGGTGAGGTAGTGAGTGGTTTTGCAAACCGATTTTTGATAACTTTTTCTAGAGATCAATTACCCTAACACTGAACTGATATTTCTGCACTTGATGCGCGTTTCGCTAACAAGTGCGTTTCGCAACAAATTGATACTGAATGTGAAGACAAGGGTTAGCTGTTTATATACCTGAAGTTTTTTGGTCCGATATGTGGACTTTGTTTGTTAAATGATGATTATCCTAATTGATTCATCGATAATCAACTAGTGGAACCACTACCTGCAAATTTGACAACAATAGATTAAAAAGCAGAAACTCTACGAGGTGTCTTATTGTCTTGTGGTTTCGAATATAAAAAATTGAACAATCGGATGGTCATAATGGGATCGACACGCATTGTTCAACTCCGACAAAAATATTTGAGGCTAATGAAAAGCTACCGAGAATACAGCAGACATATAATCTACCTCGAGGAAACTTGGTTTGACACCCATTATGTTGTCAAATATGGTTGAAAAATAATATGCCGACGCCTATGTCGAGGCGGGAATTCCTTCTCTGTGCTGTTCCAATTGGTATTGGAAATACTATACTATACGTTCCGCAATGTGACTCATGTCCAAAAAGATTTTGATGCTGCGATATCAATTTCCAGTAATGTCCGCGAAAAAGTCAACTTTGAATTGTAGTAGAAACTGGTTCAAAATTGAGGAAGTATGTAGATGATAAATATGGTGAAAAATAGTAGAATTATCTTCACTATTTCAGCCATTTAATATGATTGAATAACCTTCAATTGAGTTTTTCAGTAAAATCCATTGAAAAATTTTGAAATTTTAGAGCTCGATATCTATCAAAATATATGCTCGATTCTCAAAAGCGAAGAAGCAATGAACATATAATCGAAATCTCATTTTATAGAGGTATCAAATTCGCAACAACCTACCACAGTTTTTGGTCAAAACTTGTTTTCTTCACTAACAAACTTGATGGGTTATTTTTGTGAATAGTTCTATCCCTGACACTAGACTCCCATGAAATTTTTTTGATGCATCACCCTGTATGTATTATGGTTATTCATAGAAGGGAGTTAAGATTTTAGAGCACCGTAACTTTTGGTAATTATATGATTTGCTTTGGCATTATGTTAAAAATATTCCGTGAAATGATTATACTGTCGAATTAAGATAAACACCTTTAGCGATTGCGAAATTCAAGTGAATATTTCTTCAAATAGATATTTGAACAATTGATGGAATAATACGTAATTATGCTTGAATATAAATATTCGAAAATAGTTATGCCCGAATAGGAAGTGGTTTGTTCAAGGATTGTGATAAAGGAAACAGATCCGAACTCCGATTTTGTTTTCGAAAAATAAAATCTTTCTCATATATCGAATGTTGCCAACATCATTTGTTGTACATTCAGTTTGACTCCATCTCTGTTCGACAGCGAGGTTATTAGAAGGCAATATTGCGCAATACTCCGTTATTTAGTATCAAATAGAGTACCTCAAGGGTCTATCCTAGGGCCTGTATTATATTTGATTTATGTCAACGAGTTTTCGTGCCAAGAGGCAATTTTATTTGCGGATGATATAACCTTTCTCATTTCTGATGACTATATTGAAAGTGTGTATGGAAGCAAATGAAAAATGTATCGTTACTTCTTGATGGCAACAGAGAACAATTCAGTGCTGAACGTAGTAAAAAGTAATTTAATTGGGTCCAATACTTTCAATAATGAAGATGATTGTGATTTAGTGGGTGATAATGTGGGGGTGATAATGCAATTGAGTAGATTACTTTAATAAAAGTCTTACTTTTGCATCTATCAGAGGGCTGCACTTGGCCTCACCACGGTTACAATATTTGTAAAAAGCAGTTCCGATGTGTCATCGTATTTACCAACAGTTGTCCCGAATCATCATCACGCACACTTTGAATCATGGATGAATTACGTAATGATTTCATGAAATGTTGTTCGGGGCCAACCACCTCGGGTGTGGAGGTACAGTCCGAGAATACCTGTATTCTCGGGTACAGTTGTAAATCACCCCATGAAACATAATAACGTTGGCCGCCGCTGTTATTCGTCAATTTACTGTGACCTGGCCAAAGCGGCGTTCAACTTGACTTGCGCTTTTCTATCGTTCTAGATATCGCGTCGCTACGAGAAACTTTTATTATATATGTATAAAGACTACCAACAGTGTACAAAGCGAGTTAACAAGGCGATAGACATTCGAATAATCCAAGATTATTGAAAATATCGATTTCTTCGTAGGTATTTTCCATAAAATCATCCCAGATTCAACAAATATTTTGACACGTTGTCCCGTCATCTCTCACCTTGTTGTGATAGTACATATAGCACATCAGAGCGTAATTTACATAGGATATAATTTCCCGGTAATGATGAACTGATTTGACACTACAATACCTTCATTTCGAGAACAGCAAGACATGTGATGTTGATCTAAGTTAGAGGGGAGTAGTTTCTGTTAGAATCTGTATCACAGCAAGATTTTTTTCATTCAGCATCGAAATCCAGGGCTAGTGATATGTTATAAATATTGTTTCGTTTTCCCCGTTGGTTTCATAAATAATAATTGACTACACGGTTCAATAATCAAACTCAACTTTATTTCACTATTGATAAAACCAAACACTTCAACTAAAACTTCAACTCTATCATTCAAATGTCTTGTCTATCGCCTTGATACATCACTCTGTACCGCACAGTCCAGTAAACTCGACTTCCACGAGCTGTGATTGTTTGTGTCATCTTGGCTTAAACAGGTTGGAGCCTGGCTCCCTTACCCTTTCGGCTGGTGTTCGTTACAGAGACAAACAGGTCAAGACTGATGTCCTCAGACATCAGTACCGCCCTTCACGTGGACCCCTACCTGGCTGGGGTGTTTGGATGAATACGTTTTCTATCTTTTAATGGAGGACATGAGGGCCTAACTCGACAGAGTGTCTGGACCTTCTATATCGGGAGGGGGCTCGGTGTGGGTTGCGCTTATATACGTCGGACGAACTATCCCGGAACCGGTAGATAATTCTTCAGAAGTTCATCGGAGCCGGTAGAACGGTCGCGAGCGCTCGTCGCGTTGGATGCGGTCTTGGTCACGTCACAATTGATGTATGACACCAACGGCGGCTAGCGTTATTTTCTTTAGGGGATGATTCACAACAATATTGATGCTTATGTTAGTCAAGTATCGTTCCCGTTGTTGATAATATGAAAGTCTTGTTATATTTTTCCCATGGGTTTGACAATAATTGACTACACTATGCACCGTACCGCACTATCAACTATACTTTCGGATCTGCCTATTGGTAGTATTTATATATCGTAACGGAAGTCTCTGGAAGTCGATAGGTCTGTCTTTGAAAGTCTCTCGGAGTGAAGCGATATCTAGAATGATCGAGAAACGCGAGTCGAATTCAGCTCTACCTTGGCCAAACCATAATCGATTGACGAAGATCAGCGGCGGTCAGCGTAATTTGTCAGGGGAAAATTTACAACAGTCATAACAGATAATTCAGTAACATTAACAAATATGCAATATTTCTTCGATAAGTGGAGAAGTCACATTCTTGATGTCTGTTCTGAAAATATCCCAGGATGTATACAAATTCGATGTCTATAATATTGTTCATATTTTTGTTTCCACTTACGATGGCTCTATCAGAATCATCGTATCTCAACACAAATCCGTAGTATCCAAATCAGTTATATTTTGAACTGACAAAACATGATTCCGGCCCTGACTCGACTGTATGTATATAATATTCTCATTCCGCACTATCAGGTTATATCCAAATACTTTTTCGAACACCTGACTTTTCATACATTCACGAGAAAAATGCATCTGAAATTGGTTGTGTTTTGTATAGTAGCAGTCGCTTTAGTTCATGCCGTTAGTGATGAGGAATGGAATAGCTACAAGGTAGGTTGAACTCAATTAATCTTTTTGAAATTTGGCTTTGTTTCATTATTGTTCAATTCAACTAATGAGTTGAGTGATTATATGCTCTTTTGTTATCCTCATTGTACGATAACTATTTTAGTGTTTGTCTAATCATAGCCCGACAACTAGTTCAAATAGATTTCTCCAATCAATTGGTGATGAATCATTAAAATTTGGAATTAGTTAGTCTTTTTCTCTGTAATCAATTTTTTTATATCATTTGAAATCAGAAACGTCTTGAAGTGGACATAAAATTATCAATATTGAAGGAAAACCATTTTCTGTATAGAAAATCAGATTTTATATCGACCGTTTTTAAAAAATATATCAGTATCCGCTGATTTTGCTTATTAAGGTGGTTTCAAATCAATTTATATCATATTAGTCCGAACTAATGGAAATAGTACCTAATTCGTTGATACGAAAACAGTTTGTTTTGAGAAAAAGTTTTCCCTAAATCCATACTAGGTGGTGGAAATAATATTCTTGTTGTTAAAAAAATTGTAAATCTGTTTTTTAAACATTTTTCAAATATTCTTGCGAAGATATTTATCACTGTTATGAGTTTATAGTTCTTTTTTGTTTCTTTCCAGATTCAAAAATTGGGATTGTGATAGATTCTTTGAAGATAGACGGAATATTTCTAGATAGGATTGCTGAGTTTAAAATAAAACATGATGGTTTTAAAAGATAAATATGATATTTCTCAATGTAGGATACTGTAATTTTGTCAGGATCTGGAGAAGTCCTATTTTTCAGTTCCTATATTGTCATGATTTAATTTTTTGTCATCAGCTGAGGGACTAGCGAATTTATAATGTTTTTTTCTCAATTTGAAAGGGTAACATATTCTAAGAGTGACAAATTTTTGAAAAAGAAAGAAATCTTCCAAAGAAAGGAAGGAAGTAATCAATTTTGAAAGAAGTAACTGTATACATAGATGTGTAGATCATGCAAAGAAGTAACTTTCAGACACAAATCTGGAAGAAAAAGCCTCTCTGAAACAGCTACTTTCGTATAAACATTGAACTACACGAAAAAAAAATTATTTCGAAACAAATACTTCTGCATGAACATTGAAATATACAGAAAACACTTTTTCTTCTCAGTTTGTATTTCAAACATTCGTTGTCTAGCAGGATATGTTGGTTTATCTATTCTGTTTGAAATGGTTTCACCTATATTTACGAAGAAATGATGGAAATCGTTTCCTACTTCTGGATCCGTTTATTTTCTGCGGATTATTGTGATGTGAGTTATCGAGTATCATTCGTTATTTATTTTATTTCATTTCTAAAATTTCTGACCAATTCATTCATTCTAGTTTTGAAGTAGTAATTTTTCGCGGTTCTTATCAAATTACATGGGAAGTTTCTGTAGTGTTCAATAGATGCAGCATCTGCATGTCTTAGATAACATAAAAAAGAAGATAGTAGTGATATTTGTCAGCACCTACACCTCAATATTCATAGTATAGCTTATCAACACACAAGGTGCCGCACGTTGATATGTGAGATATCTTCCACCCATACCTCAGACAAGGTTTGACTTCTGAGGGTTTTCGTTCATCGGGGGCGACAGCTTGTTGACATATGTCAAATGATTTTTCAACTTCAATCAGATGATTGATGACTATACACTATCTGAATACACTGGGTAATTCATTATATTGTTTTGCAGAGTTATATAGAAAACTATTCGTGAAAACAGATGAACTGTATTCAGTAATACCTAATTCCTTAATGTTTCAGCTATACATTTATTCAGGTTTTTCTCGTTAATGAAACTTTCTAAATATGAAATATACTATACCTCAAACAAGCTACATATCTGACGAAAGATTGACATTTTGAAACTAGTGACTAAAAATGTTTTTTGTTGCAGCAAAAATTCAACAAAAAATACAACACTCCCCAAGATGATGCACTCCACCGTTCAATTTATGAAAAGAATGTCCAGAAAATCGACGCTCACAACCAGAGATTCAAAGCAGGACAAGAAACCTGGGAAATGGGTATAAATCAATTCACCGATATGACAGAGGAAGAGAGCAAAAAGTCTTTTGGGCTGAAACCGATAAACTGAAGAATGTTTTTGAAGCTTTATTTTTAATGTTGATATTGATATCTGTTCTATAGAACCTGATTTTTTTTAAAAATATATACATATATGTAAAAATATAGTATTTATATNGCAGATATTTTCAGTCGCAGACCCACGAGAGACATATCGACCTGCCTAGGAACCTATGCGACTATATTTCAAGTAAAAATTTACGCTATTGAATTATGTGCGGAGAGATTGGAAGAACGCAACCTCATACAGACGTCAACAAAAATATTCTCGGACAGTTAAGCGGCCTTGGAAGCTCTTGGCTCCTACCGAGCAACGTCTAAATTGGTATCAAATTGCCAAAAACGACTCTTCTCGACAGGAAGACTCAATAGATTGTCTCTTGTCTGGATTCCTGGCCGTACTGGCCTGAAAGGCAATGAGGCTGCTGACTACCTTGCAAGGGGGTGCAAGCAGTTTCATCGGACCAGAACCTGTCATTGGCATCGCTTAAGGCTTTGCCAAACAGAGATTGAACACCTGGATGGCAAAAAGATTTATGGACTTCTGACAGAATCTTCCAGGACTGGCTCACTCCAAAGCGTTTATTCACCTTTCGAAGCTTGATATGAAACAGTTGTTAGACTACAGTAGGGATGAACTACGATGTCTATCAGGCCTATTTACAGGTCACTGTCATTCGAATCATCATATGCAGGGACTCTGACTATCGAAAAACAGTGTGTGTCGCCTGTGTTTGGAAAATGATGAAACAGCAGAGCACAAACTTTGTGCCTGCCCCGCTGGAGACCAAATAAGGTTTTCAGAGTTCGGCAGAGTAGTACTCTTACCATCTGACCTGAAAGACCACTCACCATAGAAATTAATTGGCTTCGTTTAGAAGCTGAGTTCATTTGGTCGGGTGTGAATAGGTGTGAGTCACAATAAACCCTTGTGGGTTGGGTTGCGATGGATGGTCGAATAGACCCACTCACTTTGGACCTTACCTAACCTGACCCACTTAAGCTTATAAACTTAAGATTTCTCCATCTTGTCCACTTTATCTTTGGCATCAAAAAGAAAATTAGATAAACCGGCATGTGGTCTGAATGTTTTTTCTGAAAAAACCCGCAATTATCTTTATTATTTCACCAAAGTATGTCAGAGTTACTATTTGTAACTGAAAAAGTGTAACACCTTGTATCTTGTAAACAATGCTTTTCTGGAACTATGTTTATATGATGAAGTTTTTTCACGAAATTAGCTTCCGAATACGCTGTTACTGTATCCACCATTTATGGTTTGTTTTCTTGGAGTATATTACAATAAAGCAGCATCAGGAAATTCTTGATTTGTGTGTTCTGTCTTTGTGAATTGACAAAGTTCACTTTGTTTTGCTTTTCTAAAGTATATTTTTTTCATTAGAGACATTTATGCAGTTCATTTTGTCAATATGTTCACACCATGTGTTCAACAGATAATTTCTCAACGATGAAACTAAAATCTCACATCTCAGAGAATTTTCAAGTAATTCGCCTCTGGTTATTACATGGTTTTCATTAGTAGGTACTGCGTTAGGGTCACCGTCTGAATTAGGTTCACTGACCTGTCTGATTTTGAAACAAACTTTCCTCCTACTGTCGGAATTAGGTGTTATTGGGGTGGTTATAATAAAATGTGAATAAAATTATTGTAGACAAAGTTTTATCATAAATAACTGTTCAGATACCTATCTTTAGAAATGATTATTGAATCCAGAAAATTGCAACTGATCAGTATTATCAAACACTCACTAATTATATTGGATAAAATATAACGTTAATTCCTAAAGGGGTCTGAATTTGGGTCGCCAACCTTAAATATGTTATAGTTGCTTCTTGTTGTTGCCGACCGTTTATACATAGCGAACTCTGTTGACAAAAACATAATCATTACACACGCCTACCGACGGGACATTTCTTTGTAGACAAACATGTTTCGCTAGCACAGTAGCTTTCTAAAGTGTATGAATACTTCAAATTGTTCTTAAATTGATGTTTATATACTACTGGTAACCATAATTGAGACTACCTCCAAAAAATTACCTGTTCTACCTAAGGTACCTGTTGAATTATGATTACCGAAAGCATAAAACCTCACATCTACATCAATAATAATTCTTTCTGGGATTTTAAGAAAACAAGTTCAATAATGGTGATCTATTCAAATCTAGTTGGTCATTCATTGGAATGTTTGAATTCTTATTTCCATTGCTTTCAAATGATTCAGTTTCAAACCTTTATTTTTATGTGCAACATTTCGATCTCTTCGTTGAAGATCTGATTTTCTTCTAGAAGATGATTTGAAAATGTTGAATTTGTTTCCTCACTTACATAAATCGTATGAATGTTCTGCCAGTTTGACCAATATATACTTTAGGACACGTTCCACACTTTGATTTATATACTTTTGATTTCTCGAATTTGAATGTTTCGTGTTCATTATTTTTAACTAACTTTCCCAACGTATCATTTGTTCTATATGCAATTATAATATCTCGTTTCCTCAAAAATGAAGCCACTTTTTCCGTTGGTTGTCCAAAATACGTTGAAGCTCTATAATTTTGATTATCTACCT